GCCATTCCAGGGTATGCCCATGCACTTCTCAGCAGACTTGCGTTGCAGGAAGCTCTGGTCCAGTACGGCAAGTACGACGTGCAGGCCATCATCACCCAGGCCATGCAGGGGACCGTTTTTGTGGATGTGCCCCCAAGCGGTCCATTTGCATGAGTGCTTGAAAATTCTTCACATGCTGTCGCATGCTCAATATGTTGATCAGAGAGGTGACCAACGGCAACGGTGCCATGCCTGCCTTCGGCGAGAAGCTTGGACCCGATGACATCGAGGCGGGCATGCAAGTGCAGCAGTGGTGCTACGGTCTTTGGCTGCGACATGCTAGGATCTATAAGAGTATAGCTGATGTTTACGATTGTGTTTGACGGCCTTTCTGATATGTTTTGTGGTTAATCCAGCAGGACGTGGCCAACTACGTCTACAACAAGGCTGACAAGTGGTGAGCGGTTTCGGAGTTAATATGTAGTTCCCAGGATATGCCAGGGTGCAGTCGTGCACTGGGCTTTTTTTCAGCTTGCCATCGTTGCATACAAATCTCACGGGAAGTCCATGCTGTCATGGGTCCTGCGGGCACGAAAACAAGCTCGCTTTGAGTTGTAGCAAACTGATATAGGGGTCGGAATAACTCGTGATGGTATTCCCTTATATGCCCCAATCATTCATATAGCTAAACTGTATTATGCCCCATACCCCTATTATGATTATCAAGGGCCTTACCTTAGCCAGCAGAAGAGGTGGTTTGACGCAAAGTCCCTGACTCCTGGTTGATACTATTTTTGTGTGGTTCTGATTGATGCGTCAGGAAGCTCCTAATTACGAGCCTACGCACCAAGTCCTTAAACCCTGAGACCCAAGACCAAAACCCTAAACCCCGGAAAACCCGAAACCCTTAACAGATTGACACCTAAACCCAAGACCGTAAACCTAAAATCTAAACTCTTTACTAAACCCCTTAACGGACTACGATAAAACTGTGGCTTTCCTTCCGCTGGTTCCTGCTGCGTGTGGACCTGGTGCTAACAACGAGACCGAGAGCCCCGTTGGCGATAGATGGCGACGGCCTCAACGACTAGAACCGATCAAGCTGGGCTTGGGCTGCAATCGACAGCCAAGGGCAAAGGCAAGAATGATGCCGGGGGCAAGGGCAATAGGGGAGGCGATGAGACCCCAAGCCAGCTACTCGTGCGCGCCGCACGTCCGGCTTGGCAGGAAGTGAAATGGAAGCTTCGGGCTGGCGACTTGAACTTGAATAAGGTGATCACTTCGACCGAGGTCCCGAGATCGAGTTGGACAAGGGGCACCCCGTGCTTGTTTACACTGATGATGGCCAGATCCTGGAAGATTTCGGTGACTTGATGCAAAGAGGCTGCCACCCGCAGTCCTTGTTGGTGTTCGATGGCCAGGCTTGCCCGCAGTTTAACGCTTTGCAGCTCGACTTTCCTGTCGAACATAAGAGCCTTCGTGGGGTCATTCGCGGCGGCTTGAAGCTTACGCGTTGTTGGGTGGTGGCCTGGTCCAACGGCAAACCCGTCGTCGGAGAACTTCCCCTAGATGTCGAAGTGGACTTCATCGCTGCCAAGGCTCCAAAAAAGCGGACTGTGCACGAGGACTCAGTTGTGATTAGGGCTTCATGTGCGCAGAAATCTACGGACAACGAGAAGTGGAAGAAGATTGTGCACAAGCCGGGTGCGGCCATCAGGGATTGGATCGCTCGCACCGGTGGCTCTCCTGCTGACCTTCTCGACTGCCGGGGATGGGATCAGTTGGGGGTATCGGTCCACAAGCAAGCCGCGTGGATCAAAGGTCGCCCTGAGCGCGAACCCCAGCGACTGCAACCTGCTGAGCAATCATCGTTCCATCAACCTAGCCTGCGGCCAAAGCCGAGATCCTTCGTACTCAGGCCGTGAAGTGGGAGAATATTTGGACGGAACAACGGGCTACTAGAGCAATGCTGGGCCGTGCTTCGGGCCTTGACTTGTGGACCCCTGAAGCTCTTCTTCAAATGCCACCACAGAGGACTGCATTCTCCAGGTGTCGACAAGGCAAAACCACGGCATCATGGAGGACCCGCCGCATTTGGACAAGCCGAAGGGCGGCTACAGGCCTATTGGCCTATGTTTCGCGGCATGGCGGCCGGATTCAGACTGATGCCCCGCCAATTGAGGCAATGCAAGCACTTGGAGTTCTCTCCGCAAGCTTGGTGGAATGGCAGGTACTTCGGCTTGCCATGCACATGCTCGGCTTTCGCGTGCCAGTGCCCATGGTACGCCAACATTTGTGCAGGAAGACCTGCAAACCTTTTAACAAGTTCAACATCCGTCGCCGTCAAGCCTGCTTGGTGTCAAACCATTTCTGGGGTTCTGATTGATGCGCCGGGAAACTCCTAATTACGAGCCGACGTCACCAAGTCCCTAAACCCTGAAACCCAAGACCGTAAATTCTAAAGCCCTAAACCCCCGAACTAACACCCAAAAACGTTCAGACCTAAAACCACAACCGCAATTTTTAAATCCCAAAACCGAGCCCTCTACTAAACCTTTTTAAACTCCTAAAGCCGCTCGCCCCCCACTGCGCGGGCCCCCTGTCCCGCAAAAAAGCTTAATTGGAACGCCTGCTGTTTGGCTCCAGAAGTATTTGTGCTTCATGAGAAAGCTATCATGCTCAGAGCAATGTGGTTTCAGAGCTAGGACTTCAAATTTAAGGTCTGGACTTACTTTCCGGTTTTAGGATTTGGGGTTGTGGGGTTTCAGAGCTTTCTGGGGGTCAGCGCCAGAAATACCAGTTATTGAGAAGCGAGATAGTCATGGTATTGTTGTCAGTGCAAAACGCGACAGCAACATTTACTATGTCTAATATCAGACATCTAAATTCAAAGCCTCATGTACTTGCCCCTCAGCCGACTGTACGTGAACCTTACACCCTCAGCCGTAAATACTAAACCTAAAGAGGGTTCAGTCGTGTTTGGTCTTTGCCGGTGTCGTCTTTCGCTGGCCACTCGCTTGACCATGGTTTGAGGGCTTCAGATTAGGACTTTCTTTAGGTCCTAGGGCTTTGAGGGCTTAAAGTTTAGGGCTGCTGAGGTTTGGGATTTAGGTGCCTGAGTACTTGACAATTGGGGCTTTCATTTGGGGCTGAGGCATTCGGTTTATGTTTGCGCCCGACACCTTCTTGTTTGCAAACTGCAAACTCCGAATGTCCACAGCACTGGGCGTAGAGAGCAAGGCCTCAATCCATTCAGAAGTTCCCAAACACCCAAAGCCAGCAAAAATCCTAAGTGTTGAATGCTCGAAGACGCCCAAAGCCATCAACATCCCAAAACAAAAAATGCCCACACCGCAAATCTTTAGAGAGTTTTAGTCATAAAGCCCTATGGAATTTTGAAACCATATTCACCAAAACCCTGGAGCCCACCCTCCCGCTGCACAAAAAGCAGAAATTATCCACCAAACCTGCAACACCTCACCGAAGATTGGAGAATCCTGAACCCTAGATCCAAAACCCTAAATCCCCAACCCAAGGACCTCTTCTGGTCTGATGAACGATTACAGCAAGTGGGCCGGATCCCCTGAGGTTCTACGAGAGTGGCTTTAAGCTAGGGTTTAGAATTTAGAGTATTTGAACTATAGTATAGGGTCTGTTTGGCATCTTGTACTATAGGGTCACACATGTACCTAGTTCTATGCTTAGGATGCATTATATAGCGAGGTAGGTACCGGTAGGGGCTTTAAGTTAGGGTTTGTTTAGGATCTGAATTATGGTATAGGGACCCGCATGACCATGGTTTAGCCTTGTTTAGTTTACTTGAAGTATAGTACAGGGGTGTAATCTGAAACATCAGTGTTTACGGCTTAGGAATTCTGAATCATGGTATACTAAAAAACCAGACCCTATGGAACACATATTGCGGCCTGGGGCCGTAAATGAGGGTTTTAGGGTCTTTAGGACAGTCGGGTTTAGGGTTCAGTGTGGTTAGGGTTTGGGGTTTAGTGTTCTATGGGTTAGGGTTTCAGGAAGTTTGGGGGCTGCCTTTGGACCTGTTTCTGCACTTCTAGCGCCTTTTGAGTTTACTCGGGATGATGCGTTGGATGTCGCACCATCCTCACGACCTCGCCATCTCGGAATTTATGTTTCAAATCGTCCGTACCACGATGATGAGCAACATCTCAGGTTCCGGTAACCTCGTAGGAGCAGCAAGAGCAGGATTGAGAGCAGCGGTAGCTGTGTTGTGCGCAGCTCGATGTCGTCGTAGCTCCAGTAGTAGTCCTCGCCGTAGAAAAGATATTCGTGCTAGTACTAGTTGGTATTTAATACAATTCGGAGTGTGCCGCTTTGATCAACATCAACATCAACCGGCATGCCTTGGGGGTACTGTAGAACCCAATTCCGCTTCCTGCTAGGAGCAGCTGGAAGACAGTGAGGATGAGAAAATCGAGAAGGCGGAGCAGGAGCAAGAGAAGGCAAGGGCAGAGTACCAGGAGGCCGGACGGCAGAGAATGCATTGTTGAAACAACGCGGATCCTCGGACTCAGCGCATACCCCAAATAGCAAGACATTGCAGCTTTTGCCACTGCGCATCCGCAACAGTGACGCAAATCCAGCATTCATGCTTCATGCATCTGAGCTGCTACGAGTTGCTTTCAAGGTGCGACTGTCCTTACCCGCATGCCCTGCAACTGACCGAATAGCACCCAACCTGTTCGTGTAGTATTCAATGCCTTGTGCCGCAAACAGAAAACCCGCCGCCGTAAAGCCTTCGAACCCTAAACCCTGTAAACTACACCCTCAAACCCCCAAGGCGCTCCAAGCCCTAACTACACCCTGCAGTTTTTGAACCCCAAACTCTGATAACCTTTCAATCTCTATAGAAACCCGTACAGCCCCTCACACGCGAAATTGTCGCGGGGGATGTGACATCCCAAGCCTTCGAGCGAAAGCCTTTGTCGGATATCTCAACGTCTACGGTATACGGTCTGATTTTGTTCAGGATACTGGGCATGTGTTTGGGTGGGTTCAGGGGTTCCGGTGTGTTGGGAGTTTGGTCTGTTTGTTCAGCTCTGAGTCGGTTTGATGGAGTTGCAGAGGATGTAGGTGTTCTTGGTTCTTGGCCTTCGAGACCTCAACACCCTGAAAGAGAAAGGACGTAAAACTTGAACTATTTTTTTGGGTACAACTGTGTTAGTTGTATCGGGACTATAAGAGCATAACCCTGATATTAACATCGGCGCTGTTCGGGTGATCTTTTGGGAGGAATGCCGTGCTGAACAAGCCGAGGTTGAGCAGCTTCTCTGCAATAAAATACGCAGATGCACCTGCGTATGCAAGGATAGAGGCACGAATCCCTAAACCTCCAGGTACCTGCTATATAGGGCCCTAGGGGCTTTAGTATCCTATATAGCAGGTCCCTGGGGGGTTAGGGAATGCAAAAACGTATTGCTCATGCAGGAGACGCTGGTTCCATTTGTCGATGAGTTGTTTGGCCAGCGGCTAGTGCCGGTAATGTCCATCAGTCGTTCCGTCGGTCAGTCATTCAAACAATCAGTCAGCTACTTAGTTGCTGAACTCCGAACTCAACAAGTTTGCAAGATCATCGAGCAGTTGGCCGGTTCGGTGACCCTCTTACTAAGCCTTAAAGGTTTCACATTAAGGCCTCGGTTTTGCGGCACCGGCGAGGCATTCTTTTCGGTGGAGGGCGGGACGCGTTAGCCCAAACCTTATTAAATGTTGATACCCTGAAACCCTCTGAACCCGAGAATATCTCAGACCTTCAGTATCAGCGAACCCGGTGTGCTTGTTTTTGGCTAATTTTTTGCTGGCTTCAAGCTGACACATATATGCATGTATGTATGTATGTATGTATGTATGTATGTATGTATGTATGTATGTATAGTATGTATGCATGTATGTATGCATGTATGTATGTATGTATGTATGTATGTATGTACGTATGTATGTATGTATGTACGTATGTATGCATGTACGTTTGTATATATAGATATATTTATATATATAATATGTACTTTGCATGCATGCAGATGCAGGGATGGAAGGATGGAGGGAAGGATGGAGGGATGTAGTGATGGAGGGATGGATGAATATCTGCAATGTTGGTCTGCCTGTAAGCCTCCTGCCTGGCTGGCTGGCTGGCCGGATCTTATCATAGGAGCCTTTGTGGTAACTCTAAAACTTATAACAACTTTATGGCAATCCTTATCGTAAAACGACCTTCACTTCTGTAAGCTTATAGTATGTAAAGAGTCGGCGGTTGCGTTCAAGTCAGAATGGGTCCATGAGCCAAGAAGTCTAGTGGCTGAAGCAAGGATCCAGGAGACTACATAGGGTATCAGGGTTTGGGGTTTAGGTGAAATTTGGGGCCCTAAATACTAAACCCTTAACCCAGGAAGTGGTTACGGCGATACCAGCCGCGAGCTCAGAAATGTGTGTCTTGAGAGAGTCTGCAAGGCGACAGGTGACTGATATTAGGAACCCAAAAAGCACATAAGCATAAGCATTTTATAGGGATATCCCTACCTTATTGGGCTTCACTATAAGGGGGTTTATATGGGATATCCCTATCCTAATTTTTGCTTATGTGCTTTTTGGGGCCCTAATGATATGAACTGTTGTGATCCACCCTCGCTGAGGCATGCTGCTTGGCCAAAATCGCAAAACGAAAGGGCCTAAATAATTGCCAATACTATTTTGGTGGTTCATTGTTTTAGGTATAGTATACTGGACCCCAAAACCCTATTCTAGTTATGAAGGCCCCTACAACCCTAAACCCTAAACCCTAAACCCTAAACCCTAAACCCTAAACTTACGCGCAGCACCCTAAAGCCCTCGGCCCTAGGCCCGAAGCCTCGATCCCCCAAAGCCACAGAGCCCTGCAGCTCCTGTCTGGAACCCTTGTTGGGGTTTAGGGTTCAGGGTGGGGTTTAGGGTTCAGGGTTTTGGGGTTTAGGGTTCAGGGTTTTGGGGTTTAGTGTTTCGGGTTTTGGGTTTAGGGTTTGGGGTTTAGGGTTTAGGGTTTAGGGTTTAGGGGAGCCCTTAAAGGAACTCATCGGGGGTAGGAGCACTAAGCCCTACAACCCAACCGGCTCGAACCCCTTCCTGGACCCTAAGTTACTGAACAAACGGGGGTTTTCTGGGGGTTCCGTATTTCCTTGTATAGATCCTTAAACTAAACGGCTCTAAATCCAAAGCCCTAAAAAAGGACCCAGGACCCTAACCTTTAAAGCCCAAACCCTAAACGACTCTAAACCCTCCGCCTTAAATACCACCCAGGACGCTGCTGGTAAAGGCGGAGGCAGAGCCTTCCCAAGCGCGGCCGCGGGATCCCTATGCACCGCCGGAGTTGATCAAGAGTCTTAGCTTGGTTTAGGGCTGAGGGCCTTCAGGGGGCTTAGGCATTAGGGCTACAGCTCTACTTAGGAGAATTTGTGGACTTAGGTTGCAGGACTTCTCTTCTTGTGCTAGTTTAGTAGCTTCACGCTTCGTAGATCTGTGTAGGCGAGATGTGGTCGGAGGCTGTGGGGTGCCTGCTAGTTCCTCAACCCAAGGGTGGAAAGTCCTCTCTGAGACTTCTATGCAAGAGTGGCCCAGGAATAGCCAGCAGCCTTTTCGGAAAGCCAGCCGCGACGATCTGCGGGCGAGACTCCGAGCAGAAGCAGGAAGTTTAAGCAGTTAGTTGGTACCGACCATGTCCAACTGAATCACTTAAAACCGTTGTCGTGCTCATCAGCTTCATCATCCTCATCAGCATTTTGGTGACGACCATCATCGTTTCACCAGCAGCATTACCATCCCACTCCACCCACGAACGCCTTCATCGTTATCATCACAGTCTTAATCACGCTGTCAAAGTTTGTACTTCTCATCGTCGTCGGGGTTGTATTGTTTGGAACATCTCGCTAGGCGCCATTTCGAGTTGAAGCGTGAGGTGAGTATCTAACGGATTTGGAGTCTACTTGCCCCTGAGGTCTTGAGCATGCTCATGGTGCTGAGCCATTTCGAGGAGGGCGGGACGAACCTGACCAGACATCCCCAGCTGTTGGATCTGGTCCGCCACAACCGTTGGCTGGAGGACTCACAAGGTACTGCAAAGAGAGATCTCGTCGCCACAAGTGCCTGAGTCTGCATCTGCACAGAAGTAGAAGCCTCTTTGCCTCTTAGCCAGCAAGGTACCTGACAATTCGAAGAACCTTCCTTTAGCTCTACCCTAAGGGTCCATGCACCCAAATAGTAGAACATTGGCCCTAAAGTACCTATATAGGGACTACGTTAAGGCCAAAGTACATACTATTTGGGCACATGGACCCTTAGGGTTTACGCTCCTACTAACCAGGAGGACCCTGGGGCGATGGAGCTTCTGTGCAGAGTCCACAACTACCACATGAAGCAAGCGGAGGCATGAACAGCACAACCCCAAAGGGTCTAAGTACTAATATGGTAGATACTTTGGGGCCCAAAATACCTACTATATGGGTACTTAGACCCTTTGGGAACAGGACTTGATTTGTGATTTGTGCTTGTGCTCGGCACCAATGCCCTCACCAACATCGTCGCCGACACGCCCCGCTACCACCGGCTCTTGCAAATACTTGTGTTGATTCTACAAGCTGCTGCTACTGCTGCTGCTGCTGCTGCCAACACCACCACCACCACCACCACCACCACCACCACCACCACCACCACCGCCACTCCACGACCTCTGGTACCGACACCGGCATCGTGCTTGTACCCCATACCATACTAGACTAGACCAGACTAAATATTCTATACTATGCTACACGAAGCCCAAACGATACTCACTATACTGCACTTCGGTGCGCTGCACTGGACTGGACTTTTACGTACACACACACACATACATAAACATGTATGTAGGTATATGTACATATACATCCTCGCCCCACCCATGCTCTACCATCGGCGGGTCTGGGGAGTGGAGGGAACACACACACAGTGCAACTGAAACTGTTACAAGCCGGAAGTCTCCCGCTTCGATTTTTCCTGTACGTACGCTATGTGATGTCACATTTTGTAAAGTACTGTGTTATACTAAGGGCCTTATGCGTCAGGCCCTTAGACTGCAAGTTCATATTATGTTGCTTCCGAGCTTGAAGTTTAGGATCAGGGTTTACGGGATGTAAGCGGGCCTGAACGAAATTTTAATAAAGCTGAAATAACATAGCCGTCGAAGGACGATAAGGGGATGTTGTACCGTATTATTCGAGCTTCTATATACATCGAGTTGTTGTTTAATGCTTATACACTCCTACTCCTTATTGTAGTTATTGTGAAGAGTACCCCGAAACCAGGTTAAAAGCGGGATCATGATCCCAGCCTTCGGGTTTCTCGAATGATCCCAGCGCTTGGAGGCTTACTGACTGTTCATGATATGCGATATACTCTCACGTTAGGTGGAAATTCAACATCACCGACAAACTAAATTAAACGTGATGGGACAAGACCCTGACAACATCAAGCATGATTGTAAATCTCAGTTGAATCGTATCTGAATGGTAAGCGATTCTATGATGTTCGGTATTTTATCCATATTTCCACGGTAAGTATGTGTTATATACGTAGCATTTGCTCATTGTTTAAAAATGATAGGTTATTCGGGGGATGTAGTATATGTGGGAAAATTTGCTTAGTACGTCAATGGCACCTGGTTAGAATGTTCAGAATGTTTATTTGAATGGTTTTTGGTGTTGAACTCGCATTCACTGTGGGTTACAGAACCATGTGTGTATATATATATATACATATAAGTATACAATATATAATCGTGATTTTTACTAATGATTCTACTACGACGGCGACTACTACTACTACTACTACTACTACTACTACTACTACCACTACCACATTACTACTACTGCTACTACTACTACTACTACTACATTACTACTACTACTACTACTACTACTACTACTACTACTGCTATTGCGACAACTACCACCACTACAACTACGCCTACTACTGCTACTACTACTG